GAGGAAGTGGGTCAAATGCTAATTATAGAACTTGGTGTCTAGCTGGGGTGACGGTTGAAAAGGGGAGGGAAAGGAGGGGGTAGGCCTGGCCCAGACTCTGACAGCCGAGTGCCTATCGCTCCTCGTTAAAATTCTCCTTATATATCTTCACTAGACAATTCCTCCTTCCGCCGGCCAGACTCCTACGGGCCAGGTAAGTTATTAGGGGGGGGGGGAGAAAACGATGAGTAAATGTGAAACAGGAACTATAGGTGGTTAAAAAATCAATAAACAAAAAAGATTAGTGCCATGTTAACAATAAATGTTCTGATAGTAGAGAAAGGCTGAATGATAAATACATGTTTTGCTGATAAAACAATACATGTGTCTGTGTTGCTCAAGACAGTCTCAATCGTAATTTTGTAAGCTACAAAGAGGCCAATTTGGCAATTAAGGGATGCCCTATTCCTTCTGAGGGCTGTCGATGGATTTGTCCATGGGACTGACGTCATCGTTAGGCCTAAGCTCGCCGTGTGTTTGGGCGAAAACATAGAGAACGCCGATTTCGGAGACCTACTCAGTAAGCGCCGATAGGTATAAAAATTCGCTTATGACTTCCAACTTGCCCCACATAGAACTGGCAGACTGCATGCGGCTTTAAGATCGGATCGGCGTTGTGGCTTTATCGGAATCCAAACTACATTTTGATAACGCCGAAAAGCTGGGATGGGCGCCTCCCTGTCAACTCGCGACCTCAGTGCTTTCTTGTCGTATCTCCATTTTTTAACAGTGAAAATGTGATTTCGTTGTTGTGAACTGTTTTCACTGTTATTAAACATGGAGACGCGACAAGAAAGCACTGAGGTCGCGAACTCTCAATGCCGCCTCGCCGTCGCGAACTCGGGTTGAGCGGTTTGCGTGACGTCACCCGACTGGACTGGGGACAATTTTAAATGGTCATTTCAGAGCTGGTGTTTCACGGAGGACAAAAACTAATTACATTTTTGAAATCAGCGTCGTCAAATTAGGGTGTTCCCTGAGCAGAATTACATTTTAAGCAATATTTTAGGAATTTCGAGGTTTTTTTAATCCCCAAATTTATGCTTCATAAATACCAGCTGTGTTGTGGTGTAATTGTTTTCTTATGTCTAGGTCTAGGCCAAGGCGTCCTGCATGTGGGGTCAAGCAGACACCTACTGGCACCTGTCCGAGTCGATCTTCAGCCGCCTAAGTTTCGGCTTTCTTTATGTTATCGCCCTTTGGCCCCGTACGTAGTAGCCTACGAAGTTCCGCGACGTGACGGCTTGATGGGAATGGAGACGATTTAAAGTTATTGAGCCGGCGCGATAACAAACGTGAAGGAATGAGGCTCTGTCGCGACAAATAAACAGCAGTGAATCTCACTTCTCTATTTGAACGCCTTCAAATCGGCAAGGTGCTTTTTGAATGTTGATACATGTTTGTTTGGATTTACTTAAAACTGAATGAAAATCATCATCAGCAATAAATCTCCTGTCAACAGTCCAGCTGAAAAAAATATGACCGGCACCGCCCAGTTAACAAACCGCTCCTATTCCACCTGTAAGCCCCTACATCTTAATAAAGAGTAAAGAGAATAACAGCGTCTTTCGACCAAGTCACCATACTATAGACTACTGTAGCTCGCACAATGACTGCAGTGTGTCGACCTAACAACGCACTGGGTGACCTTAATGCATAACTTTAGATTCAAAATTGACAATTGAAAAACAAAGTTTGCTCAAGCTAACAAATATGGCATCAAATCAGATTCCATGTGAGCCACTTCACTTATTTACTTTGCTTATTTTGATACGCTGATTTCGAAAATGAAATCAGTTTCTAGTTGCGATGATTATTTTGAAAATTCTGCACGCAAAGTTTAATCTTGCGCGGCGGCTAACTTCAAAGGAATTTTGCGTCACATCCACGGCTTACTAAAATTATCAAACCTCCTCAGCGGGCCCGGAATCTGAAAATGTGGAGGCAAGTCTAAAAATGAGGTCACAGTAGCCTACGCGAGACAATTAGACAGCAGCGCAATCAGATCACCGTAAGGGAAATCAAATAAGACTGTGCTTATTATACAACTACAAATATTATCTTAATTGGATTTATGATAACTAAATTTCTAGATCTAGACTCTAGTTCTAGTCTCATTTCTCGTTCTAGGTGCGGCAAAAGAGCTTCACTTCCCATTGGCAATGGGCACAGAAAATAATGAGAGAAAGAAGAAGAATAAAGACAGCATTTTATAACACATATCCATGGAAAACACAATCCATGCTCTATGTGCTAAAAAATATACTCATTCATTATGCAAGCATGGAATAATTTATAGGCCTAACAGTAGAAAAATTGCCAAGTATGGGTAACACACATCAACATGTAAGCATGTATACACACATAGAGACATATTGGGGGGCTCTCGTGGCCTAGAGGTTAAGGTGTTGGCCTCTCATTCAAAGGTCCCGGGTTCGAATCCGGGTAGCGACCGAAAAATTTTCTTCTCTAAAATTGTCTCCTTTCCCCTCCTTTCCTGCTCTCTAGCAATGTTCTGTTGTCTGCTTTCAATTCCACTTTCTGCCCCCACCCCCTCACCTCCTTTGCCCCCTCCTCTGGGCTCCTGACTCTTTCTGCAGCCTTTCTACTGCTACTCCTTGGCTCCTCCTTACTGCTGTCTTTCTGCCACACCCCTGATCTTCTGGTAGGAAAGATCTACACCTAGCCTTCTCGGACAAGGGCGAAAAATCTCGGAGGGCCCGTGTGCAAGTTGCGCACGTTAAAGATCCCTTGGTGGTCTAAAATCGATAAGAGTAGGTTTCGGCCGCCACCCGGGCAAAATTCAAAATTTCCTACCAACTAAAAGTATTAGGTGTGTCCCGCGCGCTCATATGACCTTATGCAGTTGCGAGCGCCGTAAAACACTTTATAAAAAAAAAAGAGACATAGTCTAGATAGACACATATGCGTTCACAAACATTACAGTGTAAATATTATGAAAAAGGTTTAAATTACATTGTTTATGAAGACAGCTTTAGGACTTTCTGTTTAGGTTCTTTCTCAGATGGTGGATTGGATATCTTGCAGAAATTGTTTAGCAAAATATTGCTCAAGACAAAGCAGTTGTGTTGTCTCATCTCAAAACCTTAATACTGTGAGATGTCCGTAAATATTTCACTCAGAGAGTTTCTGCATAGCCTACCTTGTCAGACACTGGCTCCTACAAATGAACACAATGAATCAAAAGAAACAATGTCTTTTTTGTGAATATTTTTCTAACTGGTCACTTTCGACAGGCGCGGTTCGTCCATAGAGCACGGTCGTGCAGTGCCGCCCACATTTTTTCAATGTCCTATTACGTAAAACATCTACAATAATAATTTTTAAAAAAGAAGCCAAAAACAAACAATAACCAAAAACTATATCAAAACAAGGTCCTCACTGGCGCCATAACCCATTTCTGTGTCTATAGCGCCGTAAAACATTTACTATGCCCTGCAACAATCCACGCGCTTTAGCTAAACATAATAGGATTATTATTCAACGGTGTAACATGACCTATAAATCGCTCTTGGGGATAACCCAAGCAATGACGACACTCGTAGCGAGTTTGGCGATACATTAATAAATATTAATAAGACGGCACATCTCAAATGTGCTCCTGCCGAATAGTGCCGAAACATAGCCCACAGTAGGCAGTCTAAAAATAAACACGATAGACCGTACGGTATTCTCTGCCAATATTATGTGAGCCCCGGAGCAATCCAGCGGTGTGCTCAAGTGAATTGTGATTGGTTCATTGTCTGTCTTGCAACTCTTTTAAGTGACTCTGTGACCGTGAACCTGAGGGAGGTGAACGTTACCGTCCTATGAGCTGTGCCTTTGAATGATTTTGTAGTGGAGTGGTGAAAATTATTATTTGAGTGTTCAGTTCTAACACAGGATGAACAAAATTGATGTTTAGCTAACAATCAAATTTAGTACTAGAAATCAAAGGACATGTAAAAAGAATGAAAATAAAAGCACGAGGTCCTCTCTCACCAACCCAAAGATCCTAAAATTATACACCGTCTCATTTACTGTGCCCTATAATCACAAAGGGCAAAGAAGGACGAGAACATTTTGTCAAATATATTTTTCTAAATTAGGAAATGAATAAGTCAAAAATCGGGCTCCGCCATGGGGACCTATCTATCTTTTTGCAGGTACTTGCCAACTTTCAACTCTGTAGCTGTTGTAGCTTTATGGGAGAAGTGACAAATGTTGCCAAATATATAATAGATATATGTGTGTGGTGTGTGTGTGTGTGTGTGTGTGTGTGTGTGTGTGTGTGTGTGTGTGTGTGTGTGTGTGTGTGTGTAATAGATGTTTTCGTTTCATGGCCTATAATATAAAACAGCAAGTACAATTTTGATTCACGTGACATATTTTGCCAATCACATTCATAACCGGGAACAGAACTAGGGGAACGTAATTCGCAGAGAAAATCGCTGTTTCCCTAAGGTGACCATGAAGTTTTTTACACACGTCTCGTCTTTTTGTTAGTGTTGATGAAAGCAATTATTTATTCACTTGTCACGCTGATTTGTAACTGTAGCCTGCGTGTACATGTACCATCAGAGAAAGTTAAGTTCGTTTTTAAACTTGTACCTTGCTCGTGCTTCTACGGTTTTGATTTCTTTGGATGACTCAGTGGAAATCTTATAATACGCAATACGCATTTTGCAGGGGCAATATAAAAAAATATAGATCTATAAGTGCATCCTCTTTTTTCCTCTTCTTTTTACCTTAAAATACGTGATAGGCAGCAAAGAAATTCACATGTAGTCGTGAGAATTTACAGCAAATAGGACCTGCTTAACTTACCATTAGTCTTCTTTTTTGCATAGGTGTGTTTAATCTATATCTATATTTTCACAAATTAGAGAAGTTTATTTGAGTAACACTACTCTCGGGAAGAACAGCAGCACTGCATTGGGTAGAGCTTCTTGATAAACGAC